TGAAAGTGCTCATGCCTACTTTACTGTAGTCAATTCGTCACTGCCAAGAGTTGGTTTTTTTTATTGTGTCAGCTTCTACTATCCACCAACTCTGATGGAACGATACTGTACTACATGCCTCAGATACCGTTCTCAGCGACCATGGAAGGCATTCATAAAAACTTGCAATTTCAATATTATACGCATTATTCCACTCCAATCGCAATCATGCCCAGGACGGTAGTGTCTACAGCCAGATTTCAACTGCATTTTGAATTTCGTACCAATGGATTAGCCTCAAACCTGCACACTGCTTGGTACTTGATGCTATACTCGCACAATAATCTACAGACCAATGGACACGTTGTGTTCGTTGCGCAGTTTCCTATTATTTTTAAAGCAATCCCTATGATAGCCTAATGTCGTAGCCTGACGTGCATGAATATTGCTTTTTTGCACTTTTACTTCACCAAGAATTAATGCATGAATGGGCGAAGATCGCTCGTTACCAGCAGCAGTAAATTAGCAGTTTCTGAATTGCTATTTGTTTGAGATGGTACCCTTATTCCTATGCTTATTCTATTTGCCCATGTTCCTGCTTAGAATAACTTGATTTGATAGAGTGTAATTTTTAACTGTAGATCATTTTAATGTACAATACATGGATAGTAGCACTATTCCACGGGTTATGAAAATTCAACGATAAAAGATTTAATGTAGGTAGATATGAGTAGTAGTGCTGGACGTATACATACAATACAATACAATGCATTTGCTAGACGTTGTACAGTATGTAGTAATGCATTGAGCGAGCTACTTTCATCTACCACGACAGCAATGTAGTTAGGCAGCAGTATTTGATAAAGAAATGATTTCTTAAATCTTGCTGTAAACTATTGACTGTTGAATGATAGTGGCGGAATATATCATAAACTAAAATGTCTGCATTCACCGATAATCTAGAATACTAATTCATTTAGCAACATCGCTTGGCAGCGACCAGTGAGTGCCAGCAAACTGTGTACTAGGGACTGTACTGTAATGATTAGGCTACTGTCATGTCTCATCCTTACGCTGTATCGTCTAGTCTGACTGCCGTTATTACTTTTTGCTATGATTTCATGTGATAACAGATAGATTGATGTAAAATTTACTGCTCGTGATGCTAAATTACTGATCTTCAATTAGTAATTAATATCTCCTAGTTCTATTATGCCATCGGTCGAATTTTTTTGGTACATTTATTGAATGTAAAAGTCTGATAGCACGTTGCTCTTCACCTTTTTTTTTGCTTTGGCGGGAGGCCTACTTTTACGGTCTTTGAAACTTTACAGTACGGATTCAGTACTGCATGTTGTATTGTTCACTATACAATACGGCAAAATGAAGAAAAATTGACTGTACACAGATTGTACTGTACGGCCAGTCGAGTTTACTACAGTATTGTACAGTACTGTGCACTACATTTTACAATGTATAGTACAGTAGATGCTAGTTTCATAATTGCACAGTCAGGCTGTAGGCTTTTTATTCGAATTGGAGCCACATGAAGCCCAATGGACGAAGATACTACAGTATACCAGAATAGTGCTGCTGCACCCATCTTCTTGGCCGAGGTCGTAGTACTGCACGTATATTTTGGGAACATTTTTATGGACAGTACAATCGATACTGAGTACGTCGATTCAACTTGATCCCTGTACAGTATATGCTATGGATGTGTTTGAATCCTTCGAACATCTCCCCACTTCGTTTACTTTTACTCTACGTACTCGTAGAGTAAATTCCAATTGACCTGTAGGTTGTTAACAGCCTTGCTAAAGATGATGATGATTTTTAGCCAAAGGTTTTATGATACGTCGTGACTAAAAATTATTATGGACTCGTATAATGTTCCTAAGACATCTTGCGATTCAGATTGACATCAAAGCTTTTGTAATTCGACGACTTTACTTTCGATTGCCAATGTTGTATGCTGCATTCAGCTTGTAGTCCAGCACTTCAATTAATGACTAGCTTTGCCAAGTGATAAGATCGAGTTTACAATACAGAAATGGAACCAAAGTAGATGTAAATTTATACGTGAGTGTTGACTGTGCACATCCACCACGTTAATCTATTATGCACAAATAAGCATACAGATACGAATTGTAAGTAAGATTCAAAGCAGGCTAGCATACTTGACTCTATGATTATATTACAAACACTTCGACGGTCTGCATTACGATTGGATCAAACATAAAGTACGGTTAAGCAGCCTAGGAGCAATGAATGTATAAGTTTAATGGTCTATCGTACACTGTAGAAACTCAGTTATTTTGTGTGGTGTAGACCGATTTATGGTTGATAGTTATAATAATACAACTAATGTTGCAATCTAGTACGGACACCTTAACATATTTGTATATTTAAAATTAGCCGAGATGAAAGTGGCCATTATAATGATCATTTCTTATATTTATTTTATTGTACTATACATAATGCGAGAGTTTTACTAGAAATGCATAGTTGTATTCATAATCTAGTAGTACTAGGGGATTACGAGCAAACACTACATTAATGGAATTCATGCATCTTTAAATTTATAGGATGATATATACTAATTCTTACCAAAGATAGTTTATAATGCACTATTTCTTGCAAAGTATAGTACATGATATTAAGGTAGCAAATTTCTTTCATTCTAATTTGCAACAGACAATAATGAATTAATTGCTGCACAAAAATATGTGGAACAAGCCGCAGAAAGAAATCTGGTAAGTGCAGCATAACCATTTATCATACTTGCCCTTTGAATGCTATGACAGATCAGAGGGTTTTACATATTAATTTTTATGTATCAGTAACTTATAGATTTAAAGTATAGATTAGCTAGTGGTATCATAACAGTTTCGTTTTTATCTTACTGCATAAAAGTTGTAATTTTACCATCAAATGTCATATAATTTCTATCAAGTTAATTATTCGGAGGAGATTTTGGTACTACATTATATTGGTAAACAAGATTAATAACGTAACTAATCTTAAAATTTATCTTTCATTACCATGTACACAGCCGGAATTCTTGGTGGCCTTGGTCAATATATTGGCCAATACCGATAAATCTCAGGTCGTTCGAATGGCTGCTGGAATCAATTTAAAAAATTCTTTTACATCTAAAGACCCCGCTATCAAGTTACAGTATCAAGAAAGATGGAAAACATTTAGTAATGATGTTCGCTACCATATTAAAAACTTGGTGAGATTTTACTAGTATTTAAATCGCATAATTTAGAATTACTGTAAGATTTATCGATACTGCAAGATACTTTATGGATAGGCGAATTGTATCATTAATACTGCAGAAGTAGAGTGCAATTTTTTTGCTGTAGCCGTAGCTAATTTTAACATCTCCATTTTAATTCAGGTTTTACAAACCTTGGGAACTGAACCTTCACGACCTTCATCTGCTGCTCAGGTTAGCTGTATTTCTTCTATAGGCAAACGGGCAAAAAATATAATTATGATTGTAGAATAGGTTTAGGCAGCTCTCACAGTCTGATATACGTTAAACTAAATAGTGACCTTCTATTGTAGTTATTATAGATTTTTCCTCGTATCTAACGATATTGTTGAAATGATGCAATAGAAGCCGTAAATGAATCATTACAATGATATTAACTAATTGTTTAACTAGTAACTATCTTTGAACTCATCTTAAAATTCTAGTGTGTTGCTAGCATTGCTTGCGTCGAATTGCCATTTAATGTTTGGCCTGAGGTTATACCCACATTAGTTCGAAACGTCACTAATCAACATAGTACAGAAGCGTTGAAGGAATCTTCATTAGAGGCTATAGGCTACATTTGTAGCGATATCGCTGTAAGTAAGGATGTGGTGAAGATCTTCATTATTGCAAAATATAATTGCACAAAATTTTGTTTTTGTTTTCTAATATAGCGCTTGTAACCTAAAATTAATATTTTGCTATAACTTTTAAAGACTAATAATGAACTTACCTGTATGATTTTCTACTACTTTCAATGGTAGGACCCTGATGTTATATCGTCAAAATCTAATGACATTTTAACGGCGATAATATTAGGAATGCGAAAGGAAGAGCCCAGGTTAGATATCGAGATACTAGAATCTTCCATAAAATGAAATGCTAAAAAATTGAATCTGTTTGTAATCGGTTTATTATATATATAATAGACATTCATAGCGATTATTATTTTAAATTATTTTAGTAATTATGTCCGACTCGCCGCTGCAAAAGCCTTATTAAATTCTTTAGAATTCACCAAAGCAAACTTTGAGAAAACAGTAAATATTAAATGAAGGATTTTACCATTAGTATGATATGCATTGATAAAAGGAGTAACTTGCAATTATGTTAATACATACAGAGTGAGAGACATTATATCATGCAAGTTCTATGCGAAGCAACGCAAAGCCCTGATGAGCAGGTATGAGAAACTCTGGTCATTTATTCATTGCCTTGATTCTAATTCCCAGGAAATGAGTAGAAAATGAAATATGATTATTATACAATCATAGATCCGTGTTGCTGCCCTTCAAAACCTAGTCAGGATTGTCACATTATATTACCAGTATATGGAACATTACATGGGACCAGCGTTATTTGCGGTAAATGATTGTTATTATATTACTTGCTTCTAAATATTAATCGTCCTTGTCATCTACTCATTTCGAAATACTTTATTCTATCGTTTAGATTACGATAGATGCTATGACTTCTCATCAAGATGCGGTTGCTTTACAAGGTATTGAATTTTGGTCAAGCATTTGTGACGAAGAGGTTGATTTAGCTATTGAGGCTGCCGATGTAAGTCCACAGCAGAGCGGTTAAAAAAAAATTATGTTAGAATATCTTCACTAATCGATTTCACTAACGATTGTGAATAAAAGGCTGCAGAAGCTGGAAGACCTCCAGAGCAAACAAGTAAACATTACGTCAAGGGTGCTTTAGGTTATTTGGTGCCTATATTACTACAAACATTGACCAAACAGGTAAACTACGCTAACCGTATTAGTCTTTTACTATTACTACTATTATGTCATATTACAGACATTAAATACTCTTCGATGTTATCATACAGTCTGAACTTGATGATGAAGATGATTGGAACCCGTGTAAGGCTGCTGGAGTTTGCTTAATGCTGGTTGCGTCGTGTTGTGAAAATGACGTTATTGGGTATATACTGCCCTTTATTAAAGAGAATATAGTACATTCTGATTGGCAATACAGAGACGCCGCCGTAATGGCCTTAGGTCTGTTGTCTGTATCATTATCTTGGTTAATGAAACCGGTTTCGTTATTTAAATATTAATTTTATTACAATTTAGGTTCTATTTTAGAAGGGCCTGATCCAGCTGTACTTTTACCTGTTATGAATCAGGTACTGTGTGTGATTGTAGCTATCAACAGTTATTATGAAGTAATGAAAAAAATTATGATACGAATTGAAATGTGATCGTTACAATTTGGTAGGCTATGCCACTGCTAATTGGTTTGATGGAAAATGATAATAACATTATTGTTTGTGACTCTGTCGCGTGGACAATTGGTCGAATTTGCGAATTATTGCCGGAAGTTGCGATAAATCCAGATGTTATAGAATCCCTAATAGGGGTTCTCAAGAAAGGATTAGCAGGGGAACCACGTGTAGCCTCAAATGTTTGCTGGGTACAGTCTTACTAAATTAAATGTTTTTACGAGATCATTATCTAGGTAAACTGTTAATTTTTAACATACTATAATTACGTAAAGGCGCTATCATCGTTAGCAGAAGCAGCCTTTGATAATGAGGAAGGTTCGGATTCAGAACGACCGGACAGTTATTGCCTATCGCCCTACTACAATGCTATAGTTGATCATTTATTGAAAACTACGACCAGGTAATCTCGCCTACGCCATAAGTATTTTTAACTAATTAAAAATATTTTGATAGTATAGCTATTTTGTTATGAATATGTATCCATTATTTCTAACGTTATTAGGCAAGAAGCAAATAGCTCTAACTTGAGAAGTGCAGCATACGAATCTCTTATGGAATTGATAAAAAATAGTGCTAAGGTATTATAGATTCGGGGTTTTTAAGTAAACATTGATCGTTAGTAATAGCTTTTTAGTTGCTTAAGAAACCTGTTCAGTAGAATCTGAAGTTAGATAAATTCAATATGATATGAATGTTATCTAGGATTGTTATCCTACTATCCAGTTAGTCGCCAACGAGATTATGCAGAGGCTGCAGGCTGTATTAAGTATGGAAGTAAGTATTGTAATCCGTTACTTCATTAAAAATCGATGCTCATATGCGTAGAACGTAAAAGTGCTATTTCTTCGTTATAGGGTACTGTGCAGAGTGCTGACAGATCTCAGTTTGTTGACTTGCAATGTTTATTATGCGCTACACTTCAGGTAAGAATACGATTTTATCATAAAAATATAATGCGATGGCGTTCAATTTTTAAACATTCTACACAACTAACATTTAATTCTTTTATTTTTAGAGCGTATTGCGAAGGATTCAACCAAGTGATGTTTCGCAGTGGTGTGATTCCATTATGAAGATTTTGTTATTAATGTTCAATTCGTCGACGGGTAGAACTGGTACTATACAGGAAGATGCTTTAATGACTGTTGGGACTCTCGTTGAAGGTTTAACAATTAATTATCACATTAACCCAAGAATTACTTACGACATAATCAGCTTCTAACAATGTACACGTACGAATTTTAATTAATGTCTTGGTTTTATTAATACTTTATTAAATTAGTTACGGGAATTAATTTCATGATATATATGGATTCGTTCAAACCTTTTCTTCTTATGGGACTAAAGAATGTTATGGAGCATCAAGTAAGTCCTTGTTCATAGCATCAAATTCATGTAAAATCTGCACCTTTGTAGGTATGTCTTCATTTTTATTTTGTAAATATTAAAGGTATGTTTGGCTGCAGTCGGAATAGTTAGCGATTTATGTCGAGCTTTTGGCCACAATTTTGTACCACACGCTGATGAAATCATGTCTATTCTTATTAAAAATTTAGGGGTAAGTTAATGTTACGGTCATGTTAATATTATTAATAGTTTATTTAGGATACAGTGTATATGAAACCGTTGGGTTATTTAATTATAGGATGCTTCACTGGATCGATCTGTTAAACCTCACATATTTTCAACAATTGGAGATATTGCAATGGCTATTGAAGGAAACTTTAAAGTATATTTAGAAATAGTATTTGGTATTCTCCATCAAGCTAGTCAAACAGAAGTTAAAAAGGTAAAAGTGGCACATCAATCGATTGTATTACCAATTTTATGTTATTATCTTACTGCATTTTTTAATATATGTTGATTTTCTTATCTAATAGGAGGATTTTGATCTGATTGATTATCTAAATTTATTGAGAGAATCTTGCTTAGAAACTTATACGGGCATAGCACAGGGTTTGAAAGGCAGCGGTGATAATCCAAACGGTATGTAAACTATAAAATGCATCAGACAGCTTTTTCAATACTGATACCAAGTATTTCGATTTTTCAATGGTCAGTCGATATAAACATTCTACGACCAGAAGTGCCACGTATTATGCAATTTATTGATAGTATAGCTATTGATGAGGATCATTCTGATGGGACTATTTCTACAAGCGCTGGTTTAATAGGGTATGTATTTACACCACACACATTTACGTATATATAGTTTTGCCGCTGTTGTGGCTAATACAAAATAAAATTTATTAAAACACAGCGACTTATGTGATGCGTACGGAAGTAGTGAGATCCAGAGCCTGGTAACAGGAAATATACAAGGCATGTTGCAAGAGGGTTTAAAATCTAAAGAAACCAAAACCAAGCAAGTTTGTGCATGGGCATTGAAAGAGCTGCATAAAGTAAAATAAAAATGTGGAATCAGTGTATACCCGTTAGACGACCGTCATAACGAAAATATACTGCTACTCTGGCGTACAAGTAAAGTGTAGTTTATATCATGATCGTTAGTCGAAAAAATTGATATTTTGATATTAATTATCAGTACCTGGTGAATAAAATTCCTAGCAAAAAAGTTACGTTAGGCATTATTAATAGTTTGGTAGCATTTCTGTATCATTGTTTCCACATGCATCTGTTAGCTTATGCGCTTAGTATCGATATTCATCTGTCGATGTATGACTATTTTCATTCAACTTGCGTGTATAGCTTTTAACGGAGCTATCGTCTGCCTTTAATTTTCTATAGCATCAGCATATTTCGCTATGATCGCCGTTGTATATTTCTGCCTTTACGTAAAAGCTTGATCTCTGTACTCTATTTGCATCCCGGATGACTAATGGCCTTGCTTTTTACTCATGTAATTATATCTGTCTCTGTCTGCTTTTAAATACGAATATCTGTTGCAAAGATGCGAAGTTATCTAACAAAGATATGGTTATGAAGATACATCTATCTAGAAATATATATTCCATTCTGTCTCTTAATACACTGAATAATATGATACTTGAAATTTGACGTTGTTATTTCTTTATTAATGACAGTAATTTGATGCGCTCGTACACGAACAAAGCCCTCGTAACTACTCGTAATATAAAAGATTTTATTATACTGCAGTCTGTAATTGCATTGATTTTATGGTTAAACGTTAAAGTTTTGACTATTTATAGCAGTTTACTACTACTTTTAATTACACGAGCTCGTTTCGCCTATATCTCGGTAAACATTTCTACGAATTTGCCAATTACAGTTTGTGTAATGTAGGATAGTTAGATTGTTAGAGTGATCATTTATGGGCTCGACTTGCTCAAGTAATCGCTACCTATGTAATTTGTTTAATATTCCAGCTACTCTGATACATAGTTTCATCTCCATACCTAAATTTAATGTCTTCGTAAGTCATACTGAAGTTTACTTGATTCAATTAACGGAGATACTTATGCAGTTATCAATTTTATTTACTAGTCTGTTTATTTAGAGAGTGAGTTCCTTTTTCCTTTGCACTATACTGCATGAAATGGCAATTTTTTCATTGCTATTGTATTAGTTACTTAAACGTCTCGGATAAAATCCGTAGGATTTTAATTATGCGTAGTGCTAATGTACCGCAATTTTTTGTCATGAGATTGAAACTGGGTAAATGTAGAAGTTACGTATAATGTAATTAAGTACAAGATTTTTTACTAGTTCCATTATTTTATTAGTGTTACACTGTGCTATATATACAGTTTTAATTTTATCACGATAAAAAAATCCTAAGGAATTATAACTACATAAATGTATTAATTGATTCTGTATTGATTAATTATCTAATATAAATAACTGTTGTGTATATCGATACAATCTTGAAACTATAGATCGCACCAGCTATCATTTGGAAACTCTATTTGCTCCATATACGAAGTGATTTAAATTTATGATTTACTACTATCATTGAATCATTTAATAGAGTGGCGGAAATGATTTTGAAATTTACTAACTCTGTCTGCACGTAATAACGTACAGTAATTTGGTGGAAAGACCAATATATAAGTAGGTGTATAAACGTATACTAATAGCGATGGCGTTGCTCAATGGGATCATTTACTACAATCTTGTTATCGATAATTGAAGGTAGCAATAGAAATGACTCTTGCAGATATTTAAGTCTTACAACTGTTGCGTTGCAGTTAAAAACGCTAGCAAAGAAATTCATTGCTTTGCTTATTTATTGTTGTGTCGCATAAAACGGAAGGTATAATCTAATATAAAACGATGCAGTAGCCTATTTTACAGATTTTCAGGTTATAAAAATATCAGATAATAACATTTAAGAAATATCTTCGTTATCTTTGGAGTCCATGCTACGTCAATCCATAACTAATCGATATGATAGATTTGGTTATTATAGATCGCAGTACGAAATAAGATCGTTAGTCTTTTAAACAGATTAAGAATACCAATTGGAAAAAATTTTTGTTTCTCAAAATGAGATATACTTGCAATTTCAATTTTAAAACTTTTAATAGCGATCGTTACGCCAACAGCTTTCTAGTTATTCCATAGATTTTATCATTTATATAGGCACAGTAAAACTAAAACTTCAACAAAAATATTACTAGAATCACTGCGTAAAACATCAGAGATTGATTTGACAGTGAAGCAATTGAACATTTTCGATTTCGTTTTATAGTTGAAAAGGTTGTTCTCATCGAGGTATATTAATATAATCGTTATGTGGTAAGTAGTTCTCCAGTCACCACTTCGTAAGAAGATTCATGTTTCAAAAGGTTATCATATAACCGACTTAAAAATTTTTTCCTTTTCTTTCCTCTAGGGTATTTTTTTTCGTTAATTAGCTTATCAGTTAGATAGTGTAGCCAGTAGACATTAGTTTTAGCATGAAAGCTTTTCCATTCGTTCCTATACATGATTAAATTATTTCTTCAATTTCCGAGCAAAGCAAAGATAGTCATATCCAACCTCTGGATAACCTACTACTTATGTTCGTCAAACCGCTACTACCGTATTTATTTTGGAATGATAATACTTACTCGTTCTTTTCTCTCATCATACGATAGATTTCAAACTGATAGTCCCCTTCACCTTTAAATAATTCATCATCCTTCGATAAATTAAAGAACGAAATACAACCATCTGATGGGAGTCGAATTTAAAATATTAGATTTCAATGATATTTGCTAAGTAACATTATTTTAAAATTATCGAAAGACTTAATGTTTAAATGAGAGGATAAAAAAATGTATCGTTGGCTATATCACCTTGTTCTAGTCTTGACAACGTAAAATCAATTATACTGACGTAGACGTTATTCGTTGGTATTTCGTATTTGTGATCATTGATCACACAAGCACAGGTTTCCATTTCTGTTTCTTGAATCAATACGTTGCTCCAATGTAAATCTCGATGTTCGAACAACAATGCCTTCAGCGAAGATTACATAGTAGATACCGTATTATAAAAAAGATGACTAGCCGTGTATAATCAAATGAGTTAATACAAGACGCTTAATAAGTTACTTTAGGCTCAACTCTTAACTAATTAATACCTCTTCTGCAGCGGCCAAAGCAAAAGTAATTTGTTGGATAATACTTTCAGCTTGCTTTGTACTTTTGATCTATGCAAGAAATTAGAATAGCGATATGTCATGTGGTTTTAATATTGATTTTGTATCGCTCAAAAAGTTTACTATTGTGGAAATATAGACATATGATTACTGGGAAATGTTCCAAATCGACACCACCAAACGGGAATTCCATTACAATATAGTACTGATCCTTATTAAATATGTCTAAAGAATAACACAACAACAACGTTTAGTAATGAGTATATTTTTCTGCAGTCTCTATATGATGTGCACGTGAATTACGTAATGGTTCTACTGCATGTTATTACCGGGACAATCATTTTCTGATTTATATTTTTTATCCCATTCTTTCCATGCCAAAAGTAACTTCTGAGGGTAGCGACCGCGGCAACAGGCAACACTTTAAATAAAAGAGTTGGCGATATTATACTCGTAAACTATGTAATTATACAACAGTATTGGTAAGACTGTAATAAATAAGTAAGATCATCTCTGATTTAAAGTAGTTGTTACCTAAGCAACTCAATGAAATTATTCGTTTGATTCCTGCCTGTAATATCCTATGCAAGAATTATACAAATCTCAGTTTAGATGAAAAGTCAAATAGTAACTCATGGCTGCCTGGCATCTAACCTTGTGCCTTAATGAGCTTAATTCCCTGCCAAATAGATAGATTGAGAAAATATATAGTCGTTACTAGATTACCAATAATCAACAAAACATCAGCACATGGCAGTAGAATTTACCGCGCGATGACTATTTCCGCCAAGATATCTTCAAATTTTTTTTGTTCTTCTTCGTTAATTAACTCCTTTCCCTCTACAGGCATAATCTAAAATGAGGATTAGTATGTAATAAATTAAATAAAACCTATACAGATAAAGATAAAATGGCTATCCATTAATAATGGGCATCTACTTTGTGAATAAGCTAAATAGCGCACATATCTAATACAAGAGATGAAATTACTTGAAAAATAAAATAATACTTTAGCCATTGTGCTAGTAATTCTTAAGTTAATACGCATAACACTGATTTTGATCTTTATCTATTTATATGATGGTACGTACATTGCTAATACTCTTAAATACCTTTATGATGGATTCCTTTCCTTCTGTATTACTACATCGAAATACTTCGGCAAAGGTGCCTTCACCAAGTTTTACAAATGCTCTAGAATAATTTATTGATTCCTTTAGTTATTGTGTTTATCAAATTTTAAATGACTACGCATATTGGAAGTGTATCATAATTAAGATTTTCAGTACAGTCATTATGCGGGCATGAAACAAGGTATTGACTGATTGAGTATTAATTGCATCTATGTGGTAATACAGTACTTATTAACAAGATACTGTTCCAGCGTTATAGCTTCCGTTTGATTGCATTCTTCTAGTACTTTATGATATATATCAGGCAAATCAAGATTCGATTCTCTATTTGTTAAAGGTAGTAAACTTTCCTAGAAAAAGTAGAATAGGAAGATGTCATTAATATTAATTAATAAGTGGTTTTATCGTGGAATAACTAGACCGGTATGGTTAATGAGTAACTGGTAAAAAATTTTAACCAACATAGTTGCACAACTAGAAGAGTATTATCATAGAATCTTCATTCACGTCTCTTTAATTAATAGAGTACTTACTGCAAATGAACGTTTACGCAGTATAGAAGTTTGGCTAACGTCATTTGTTGAGAGACTGCCTTCGAAGATACTGGAATTGTGTATGTCAGGATCAAGTGTTACTGAAGGTGTCCTATCGCCATTATTCGACTCATCGTAGATACTCCTAGATAAATTTGCTTGCTTTCCTTCCTGCACAATAGGTGATGACATCTTGAAAAGATTGCAAGTTGAATTGCCTCCATGATCGAACGTAATATCAGCCTGCGTGCAAATACAATATACAGCATGAGTAATGGACGTGAAAAAAGGGGTGATAACTTATATTATTTGAAGCTAGGCTATTTCCTAATTTTCCTACAGTATGATTTTAACATAATAAAGTGATGAGATGCGGAATAAAACTATCAATTGTTCTAAGCTAGGCTATTTACCAAGTTTAGCTACAGTATTATTTCAATACAATAAAGTGAAAAGTAGTAGAGATGTGGAGCAATAATAGTTAGATAATTTAAGCTAGACTATTCCAGGCTTTGCAATTATTTCAAAATAATACAGTGAAAAGGTGCAGAAATGCGGAGTGATAGCAGCTCGTTATTTCAAGCCGCGCATTTCCTCAATTATAGCTATTATAACAACGTAATAAGGTTGGGAAGATATGATACGATTGCCTAGTTATCCAGGTCTAACATTATATTTATGCAAGTAAGTAAGACGTTATATATCATGCTAACGTTATATGAATTAGCTGCCAGTAATTGACTACAATATATTGCAAAATAGGTCGTAAGTTACAGGTGATGCAATCTTGGTAAATCAACAATTATCGTAATCTCCAATTTTAAGCTGTCTTACCGAAACACCACTTTTTTTTAGATCTGGCTCCGATCCAAGATCAATAGAAGAGTTTAACGGACGGTTGCTGCTAAAGATATCAGGGTAGGATATAGAAAACAGTAAAGGAGGTGCAAGCTACTCTTATTAAGTAAAAGCAATATTACTACCATTTTTATAACGCTAGTGTAAATACGAGTAGCTTCTAACTTTTATCTTTTTTTCAAGCATTATAGATATGTAGTGACAGTAAATCTCCTCAGAATCCATAAAATCACCATACCAACTGGATAATACAGTTTAATTGAGCCAAAATTAGCTTTTTAACGAGCACCTCATAACTGAATATCGGTTTATAGGACAGATCTAGTTTTTGCCTAGCAATGCACATACGGTACACAGCACTAAACACCTAGCAAAATCGACGATCATCTGCATTAAGCATGGCAAAATTATGGGTAAAGTACTCCAATATGCAGTATAACAGCTACTGTAATCCAAAGTAGAATATCTCTTATAGCGTTATGATACCATATCAAGAAGGTTGTATTTCATATACAAACTTTGCACTCAATGATGATGAATTCTCAGCAGGAAAAATGGTTTACTGACTACCACGTTGCTCGCAATTGTCAATCGATCGATTGAATATCATACGTAAATCAAGCCATTGTCGATCTTATTCTACTTACTCGTAGCTCGATGACGATTTGGAAGAGAAATCGGATCGTGATCGGCTAACGGCTTGTCTTGCATTTAAAATTGGAGAGAAAGGTGTTACACTAATCGTTCTCTTCCCTTTAGCACCATAAGTTCTTATAAAATGTTTATTGAAAGCCATGATACTCCAGCCAATAGCTAAAACAGTTTAAAACACGATATATAACGATCACCAAGTTTAATTCCCAATTAAGGTATGGATAATAAGCCTGAAATTACATAACGATCCAAGTAATTGGCGATAGCTTTCGACAATATTTTCCTTTTTGCAAGTCCGTGCAGATCTTGTTGCCGCCAAATTTAAAATGAATCGATGCCATTAAATTGGAATACAGACGATCTATTTTACACAGTGATTTCTATGGTACGAATGACATGCTTGCGAATGTACAGTACTATAGTATTTTAGTGCAATAAACATTAGACTGTTTGTTGATATTGTTTATATACTAATGTCGTAAACATTCTTTTGGGCAACAGGGTTGCTATAAGGTGTTTAAAATACGATGTTTAATGCTATACGATCCTTGTAATGTATAGACAGAAAGTTGCACCAAGGTAAGACAACTCTAGAGTTCAACATGGCATCCTATCTGTAGAAGATAGGATATTGCTATATAGTGTCGTAAGGAGGACTTTTATCCAATTTTATCAATATGGCGATCTGCTACCCTGAACAGAATACAACTTATAAATAATTAGCTAATTTCTTTGATCTAAGAGTAATGAGATCGAGAAACGGACAAAATTTGACATATTTGTACAATGTTTAGCAGACTGCATTACTATCGGAGATGCATAACCATTGCTACGGTAATAGGTGGCCCACTCATCTCAAGATATTAGAGCTTATGTCGTAGATATGATAGCAAATATGGCTTCAAGATGATATCCTGTAGGCTATGTTTTAGCGTAGTTTGAAGTCCGCTGTTATGTATATAAGAATACAGTAACCTGTTGTACTGCACCTAATGTGTTAGCATAAGAGAAAGGTAATGAATTACTAAGATCAGGGTATAATACGTCATTACGGCTATACTTTTTAAATGCAGTAAATCCTAAATAAAAGAGACTTTTAGTAAGCTTACTAGGAGGAGTGTATCAAAGTCCCTCGTGCTAACGTTAACGACTAAGAGTGGAAGCGCAACGTCCGCCACTCAGCCAACGAGATAGTTACAATATGGATCAGCATATTGCTAGAAATACTACTTATTTATACGCTCTGAAGTCTTCAAATGATAATAATATTTATAAAACAATTACTCACAATATAAATTAGGGTATGGCCGTATTAGTATGCAATTGAATATTATTAGTAATAGCATTCAACCTTTATTTATAAATTAATTATATACTACAGCAGTATAGGATCATGTAATTATGTAAATACCATCATGTTGTACGCAAACTGTATATACTACCATCTATGAGAATAAATGCTACATAACTTGATATAACCTAATGTACTACACTTATCCTCGTTAGAATACGCATTTAGTGTTGCAGGTATGAATTTTGTCAAGTTTCGGCTTATGCATAATTTGAAAACATGCATGAATGATTTAGTTAATTAGTAAGATTCTGATATAAAGGAGTCTTCTATCGTAGATAGGAATGAATACTCTTCAAGACTTGCAGCATCATACGTATAATAATAACATCATCTGCAGTATTACACAATCATTGTGTGTTGTCGTAGTATAGAATTGAATATATTACTAGAATTCGTTAGGACCTCAATGCACTACAATTATACAGCAGGTGGCAAAGCCTATAGTAATTATACTATCCGCTTCATTCATAAGTCGTTAAACCATACAACACTTACAAAGGTAGCATATCATTATTTGTTAATTTTGAATTCAATTCAATCTTATGCCACACTATTGTAGATGATTAGATAAATTTTTATCAGTTACGATTAGTATATTCATTATGGGCAACACAAACGATTGTTAAAATCCGTATAAAAGACATGTTAACACAAATAATTATCATTGTACCAAGTAAATATCACAGTTAATGGAAATAGAAATCGTTTCAATTAGTAAATTAATAAAGGGTTTCACAGGAACATATCAAAATTTTAAACATATTACGAATCTAAATGACAGTATGCTTTTGCATTAAGACCGCCTATTGATAAATAGGTACATTACAACAATTTCAATTTCATTTGCATTCAATAATTAGGGTTTCTATTTCAGGGACGCCAGAAGAATCTTATATTCCTGTAAAATTTCGCATTCTTCATTCAAAGACAGGTTTAGATAGTCCTCCTCGTCTTTAGCTAAGTCAGGTAAAATAGTCTCAATAGATTTTTCTAATTCTTCCTTGTCTTCATCATCTTCACTTATGTCTTCTCCATCATCAAAATCCTCAGTTACATCCATGTTATTTAACGCAGACTTTTCAAGGTCTGATTCATCGGTAGACGATCCTAGTAAATGGTAGTTAGAAAGAGTATTTGGATCTCCCGTTATTGTAGGTATAGACTACCTTAAGATTATTATTTCAATAAGGGTTGCTTGAAATTAAATAAAAGTGTTAACGAAATTACCTGATGACATAGGCATCTGTGATGATAGTTCATCTATAGCACGTTCGATATTTCCGTTATGTTGTAATAAGCATGATTTGGCTTTCTTTGCATCGAACCCCATTGCCGTTAACTAAGAAGGAATACAAGTAAGTTACAATCTTTAAAATAAACTGATATCCCTGATATCAGGGTAACTTCCCAAACACTCAAAATTTAACTTAATAAATCCATTATTTTCACCCCTTTAAATATAAACACGAATAAAAACGATCAAAAAGGACAGTTAACTTTAAATAATTAATCATAGCACGATATATTTAAGGCTTAAGTAATTAATGCTGCTATAAATATACTACACAAGATATAAGAACCTGCTTTACTATTTATCAGCTATTAATTTAATATCACAAAAAGCTTAAGAATCGATATAAACAATGTATAAAAATGCCACACGATGATTGCCTACCTGATTCAGTGCTTCCTTGGATACAGTATTCTTCTTAGCACTGTTCTTACTTGAAAAGTAAATGTAAGACATGTTTAAATTCTGGTATAAATAAAAAAGTAATATTAACGTTTTACGCCATACTTGATAAGGCAGGCTCTTAGGACGTCTATGCCTTCATTCAAAGCCTGAAATTTCAACACAGCAATTAATATAGTTGCATCCTACCTTCAAAATATACGTAATCTATATACTACCAAAAATGCGATAAATTTGATTATACTAAGCACAATACCTGTAAGGCCAGTACTATATCATTTTCTGATTGACGTAACGCTTCCGCTACAAGCTCTTTATCATGTCCCATACTAACTAGCGAATCGTATAGCTCTGCATTAACCCTAGTGTTTTATACAATATTGCAATTAGCATAATTCGCCTGCACTTTCTAAATGGCCAAAATTTCAAGAAACTTTCTTTTAGCATCATAAATCAAATTATGATAAATAGGACAAATTCTATACCATTCTCCTTGAACTGTTTTGCCCAGACGTTCTCGCTTTCTTTTCTTTTGTCTTTCTTCTCTTTCTATCTCTTTCCTCTTTTTCCTTTCCTAATTCATGAAATATGTAATTAAATCGACATTTTTCTTGAGATAGATTAGTTAGCTACAACGAATTACCCTTTGACGGTCCATTATATAACCGATAGCTTTTTCTACATTTCCGTTTGATGACCTCAGACCTAAGCGAGCTTCAACAGAGCTAAATCCCATCACCATCACTAGAGAGAGAGCAAGTAAGGATAAATAATTGTAGTTGAGATTTCTGCATCATTAAATTTATAATCTCATATCAGCTCCATTTTAAATGATTATTATTATTAAAGATACAAAAGTAATGTAGCTCTTATTATAAAATTTAAAGACGTACACTGAGTTAAACTCTCTTCTTTAACCATTAATTTTTCCATTTCGTTTTCGGCCTAGTAAGATATTATATACAGTACTTATCATAATAAAAATAGTAATATAAAAGATCACTGTTATAACCAACCTGTATTAATAACCTTTGACAAGTCGATTTGTCTCCTTTGTGATACGCAACAACTCCTTGTAAAAGATGTAAACGAGCAAATAATGCTATTTCGTGGGAATGGCACCCCTGTTTGTGTAGCAGACAATTAGATAAATACTATCTGCAAATTTTAATAGTAGCTTAGCAAGTAAAGCATTTTCAGAAATGATAATCTGCTATGCGTTGCAATCGTAACTATCAGGGATTTATTACAATTAGAAAGGTGATTTAATTTTCAAACACTCTGATAAGATACATGTACTATTAACATGTATAAAGTAATATAGCTACTTAGGAAATTAATTCTGGCCAAAACGAGTACATCACTTGAGATAATTCAATTTTATACCTTAATCGCTGTTAGTCGCTCCATATTTTGACCATAACATTGTGAAAAACATTGTGCACATTTTCTTAATCTCAATTCTGTCGGATATAAATGGATGTACTGTATTATGTCAATGTAGTAAAATACCCTAAGTAATCCAAATCATGTCTAACCTGCGTCTGACAAATAATCGAGGCATTTTATTCTCATATAACACCAAACGATATCTAAGCATAAGTTAGCGTAGTTATCTACACAATTTAAAATATCTGCATCACATTGGCTATAAAACAACGAGAGAACTTCGATTAGTGTCTTATACCTTAAAATTGAATATTAAACAAAAACAGGACGCATTTTGTAAATAATAATACTAAATGTAGCTATGATAGTTTACATATAATTTTACTTAAACTCCTTGTCCGCTTCAAAGAGGAGAGGCAAAGCTTCAGTGTAGTTCTTACGATCTATATAGCTTCTAGCCAGTTCATGTAGAGACATAGCTATCACTAAGGACTGAGAGGGAATAAAACACCGTCATCAATAGAGAAATAAATAGCATACACGTAGTTGTTCAAGAGATCTGCCAAAAGTAATACTTTCTTGGTTGTTGATTGAAGAGGTATAAGCACTCCATTTTGATCTCGAATTTCCATGTAATGGCCTTCGTACTTTCCATCTATAAAATCGAAAAGAGTAGCCGCTATTAATTGAAGCTCATATCTTGAATATGGCGCCATTATTAACAGTACTGTACTCCGAATTTGCGTCTTTCAAATCATTGCTTTAAATGTAGTAGAATAAAAGAACGCTCTAATCTTAGGACATACTTTTAATGCAATCGTAAGTGACAACTATCTAGTTATCCTTATATGGTGTTAATAAACAAGTACTAAGTAAACAGTTACAGACACTGCGATCAAGAGATGGATATTGAGATCAGGAAAGTGCTTATTTGTACATTAATTAATTAAAACAAATTATTTGTCCGTACCATCGGCCCGCTTGGATAATGTAGTGGCTACTTTTCTAGCTTGTGAAATTTTAGTCGAGATATTATCCTCCGCATTATCTAGTTTTGCAGTCTTAACTACGAGAATTCGTCCGTTATGTTTGATATTTTGATCAGTTAAGTTGCACCCTATCATGTAGTTACCATATTAGGAAAGAGTATTTAAATCATAATGCTTATATACATATTACGGCAACCGATAAATCTTTAGTGCTATGAATGGCAGGATCTTAAATATACTGCATACTATATTCTATATGAAGTATTATACTAATTACATTCCTTACCATCCTCTATTAATCGTCCATTGCTTATCATTTTAATACTTTCGCCACGGCAATCAAGTTTATCCATGAGGCTATAAGTAAGGCAGATAACATCAATCATTTTCATAGTTAATTGCGTACTTCATTGATCAATTGCTGTCCTGCAACAAAGAATTTTACCTTTTTCGTAATTCCTTTCCATCATTGCTTAAATGAATATCAAGTTGAAAGTCATATTTATCTGCCGTAGATGTAGAAGTCAACTTCTGATTACGGCCAGTCTTGGCTACTTGAATATTCAAGGTAGCGATACCATGCTGTTGAAATCGTTTATTGCCTTGTATTTTTTTTAAAGCATGAGAACGTAGATTTTCTAAAACTTCGCTTACATCTTTGGATGAGATTTGTAAGAATGACGAGTACCTCTCGATTAATTCCTACATTATGGAAATAGGTGAAGGAAAAGAGAATATTTGTATCAATAAATGATATCAAGTTAGAAATGTAAGACGATGCTATTCTCCTTTGTTATCGTTATGATCAGGACTAATCAGGACCATTGCCCTACATCACAGAATTACGAGAGAAGAGGATATTTGCATAAATAAATGGTATCAAATCGAAAATATAGGATGACGATGTTATCTTTGTCTCATTTCTAATGATGCTTAGCATACTAGTCTTGCAACATAGAAATACGAGAGAAAGAGAATTAAAATAAACAGTATCAAGTCAGAAATGCAGAGCAATGATATTCTCTTTCTCTGATTGCAATGATGATTAGTAGATCACCGAAAGACGAAAGAAAGAGAATACCTATGATTATTTTCACGTAGTACTGACCATTGACACAAGACATGATCGAAATACGAAGAGAGTATTTGTATAAATAAGTCATATCAAGTTAGAAATGCAAGACCAAAGACCAGTAGAAATGGTCTACAGTAGAAAATCTCTACAAGCCTGTGTCTAAACGATGATATAGCATTTCATTTTCTTATCATGATGATTCTTAGGACAGCAACATTTGTAAACTTTGCACAACTTTTGCTAAGGAAAACTTTTTCTAAACAGTGACATCATCAACTCCTTCTACTATTGCAGCAGCAAGATATACAATCATCTAACTGGCTGAGTCCTTCCTTACCTCAGGCAGGCTATGGCTACTTTCATCCCCTTGCTTCGTATATGGCGGCAGCCATAACTTAATATCGTCCTTCAATAACTGCTTTCGTATCCGCTCGATGAGAATTTTCCTTTCATCCATTTGTTTCGGGCTGAAGAATTTTTGCTGTTGACTATTTACCGACGGATTCTTTACCTGGTAGAATATAGTGTCGACTAGTACAGTGCTGACTCATCCGATTCTGTACTAGAGTAGACACGAAGCTGGATTGTTTTGCATAAGCACTAGGGCAGTAGTCTGCTTGCAATTTGCTATACTGGATACAGTAGAGTGTATCGTTTCGCTACGACGCTTGATACAATATACTACAAGGGTAAATCACACCCATTTCCTCTTCTAATCTGCTGCTACTATGACAACTGGCAATAAAAGTCCACTAGAGGTGGATAAGTCGATGGACGATTAGAAGTGGATCATGGACGGAAAAGGTGATGGCTGATTCTATCCATAGGAGAAAGAAACTGAAGCTTGAAGGTAGGAATGAATGCTTTATAGGTACACTTATTCAATATGACTGTGAAACTACTGTAAGTAGAGGAGTGCTGGATAGACATTGCTAGTCTATTAGCGCTGTAAGTTGTAATATGGATTGCTAGCTGTCGTGAAGTAACGTCAGGAAGTACTACTACTACCAATAGTACAACTGAACAAATCTGAGGCTGAAATCATCAGTATTTATAGTATTAGAGAGAGAACACATGCAGAGAACAGTATTGTAGAATTAGATACATCATATACCATAAACAGGCTATATAATAGTAAATGATTGAAATACACTACACTAGCCATAAGAGAAATACTTATTGTAGCTGCAAACTCCTTGCTGCACCTCGCAAGTATTTTCCTATTCAACATGATTGATATCTTATATAGGTACGACAGCGACTGCACAAAGCTTTCCTCATCCTATTGCTGTACTGGCAGATAAATATACAGCAGCAATCGAACTAAGTACAGTATTTTAAATTAATAATAATAATTGCAACAGTACTGATGCTAAACTAGAGCTCAAAACAAATTGCGTATGCTTATAAGCTTAGCAGAAGACGTTTTATAGATCTCAAATACGTTATTACTGAGTTATCCAAGCTACTAATGAACCAATTGATATCGTCAATAAATAGTTGTTATGATAACTCTAATAACTTTACATTCGTTACTTTCAAGATCCATACAAGATTCCATTAATTAATACTATTTCATACGACTTTTCAGTTGTAATCAGCTTCTGCTATTTATATCTTGACAGCTGAGGTTATTGCAGCTCCTGTTTTAGATTGCAAACAATTGTCATGCTTAATGAGGTAAGATAATTGTGCAATAAACGAAAATGATTTAAAATTACTACAAATAATCTTATAATAAATTATAGACTATTATAAGTATCTGCATGCTTGCTATTAGGCAATTCAAGGATCACTTACCTCTTGATGGACTAACTCATGTTAAACGTATTCGAAAGGATGAACATGGTTAGAAAATGACCTATAAATAAACTCAGTAATAAATGTTATAACTCGGAGTGATACATATTATGTGAATACAGTGTGGTAATAATATTATGTTAAATGTTGATTCTAATTATGAAGAGAAAGCTTTTAATCTTTATTTGATGTAAAGGTAACTACGCCATCATCGTATGCCTACGCAAACACTTGAGTGATATTTCGGAATTAGCAATGCAAGAATGGATAAAAAACCAGCCTATTTCTTGGGAATATTTAGGCAATCTTTATATAGTTCAAGTTGCCGCTACCTCAGCATTAACGAGAAAACAATTTGAGGTGGCTTCCAAATATTGGCCTATCTCATTCTATGAAGACAAAAGGTAATCTATATTATGTAGTAGTAGATTAAGAATATACAGTGTATTACACACGTACACAGTATATAGTTAACGTAGGAAATTCCTAGTCGGAGACTATAATAATAACGCTACACTTTAATCAAACTAAAAACTTTCCAATGTCTCACAGAATTTCAACTGCTATTGAGGGAAAGTTATTTAATCAGGAAGTGATTCAAAATATTTATAATAACATGGATATAGCTATATCTACGGCTTTAGAGAATTCCATGGTAGGAAATATAACTAGGATTAGCTAACACTTATAGTAGCGAATATTTTTTATGCGTCTACTCAATAATCTATCAAGTAAATACAGCAAATCTTTTTACGATAAATAGTTCAAAATTGGTGCAGTTATGGTTGATCCAGAAAGTAATAAGGTTCTAGCGAAAGCTTCTGATGGCCGGTCCAGAAATGTTGATAGCTCCTTATTAAAGCATGCCGTAATGACATGTATTGATGATATTGGTAAAATGCATGTAGCTGTAGAAAATACCAATAATTCTTCTAAATTGCCTAATGAAGAATCTAACAATCAACGTGGTTATCTTTGTACTGGATATGATCTTTATGTTACGAAGGAGCCTTGTGTCATGTATGTTATCAAAATTAAATATCTGTTAATATTATATTGCCACTAAAATGACATCGCGATATTGCGCATTTTTTAATATTTTATCCTTTCATACAGGTGTGCCATGGCTTTGGTACATTCAAGAATTAAGCGAGTATTCTATGCAGTAGAAGATAAAGAGTATGGGGCCCTCGGTAGTCGATACAAAATTCATGTCCACGAGGGTTTAAATCATCATTTTGAAGTATTTAAGAATATCTATCGGGACAGATGCTTGCAGCTTCAATAAGAGAAATAACATCGCAATATTATATCACTAAGCCAATCTAATGTGCAAAATACAATAATTTAAAATGATTGTGACTTATAACTCATCAGTAAATCATTACTGGCTAGCTATGTTAGCAATTATTGTGCATTAATTAGCACACGCGTATACTACGTTGGGATTAGTGATTCCTCGTTTTGTGTTATGTTTATACAGCATCATTTATTTGCAGATTGTACAATAAAAACACAGCGCTAAATCATATTAAATAGGAGAAAAATAGAATACGTAAACAGTATCAAATTTATCCTATAAGGATGTAATGGCATCATTGTAGGACTTTTAAGTTTTTAAATGATGAAAATGGAGATACAATAATATACAATTTTGATAAATTACTAAACTATAAGTAAACGAGATTATTGTTAATTTTTGAATCGATAAATGACAACATAATAATTAGTTTCCAAAGCATGTATGAAAATTCTCTGTCTTGCCAATTAATACTCAGGACAGAGCTTTCTTTAAATTGTTTCTTATAGCATCCAAGAATTCAGAAGTATTCAAGTAATGTTCTCTCGTCACACTGTATTATTAAATTTAAAATAAAATAAAAGCAAATTAATACAAATCAGAATACGACTTACGACAAATTTTATTGGTATTACTTCTGCATTCCATGAATTGCCCCTGCTAAGTCTTTCGTCATTTGTCCACTATCAACAGAATCAATACAAACTTTCTCCAAAAGATTACCAAAGCTACATATTAGGATAGTGAGTAAATTGATATTTATAATGGCGTAATGGCACCTGATCGTTTGTGCACGTCAATTTATTATGGTTCAAAAATGCCTCGAAATTACCGTTCAAGGTCCTTATTGCCATCTAGTTTGGCCCGGGATATCAAACCCCTTGTCCAAGCAAAAATGGTGGCAATGGGATTTGTACTCGTTTCGTGACCCTAAATAATTTATTACAGACCTTTGTTGAAGTGAAAACTATCATATTATGCCAACATCATTGCAATAAGGCTATAAATAATTATTTACTTTTATGTGCTGACGATAGTGACGTGTTACGGTACCATGAGCAGCTTCAGCTAAGGCTGTCTTCCCATCAGGACACAGCAGTACACTTGTCATTAAGCCCAACGATCCAAAGCCTAAAAATGATAACAAAAGATTCAATGTCGTAGTATACAGCAACGAATTAAAAGAAGTAAGTTCGTTACCTTGCGCTAATAGGTCTGATTGGACATCTCCATCGTAATTTTTAGCAGCCCAAATGAAACCACCTGAAGATTTCATGACTTGTGCAACCTATGATATTATGTAATCCCACCACTTGAATTAATATAATTCTTAAACTAATTGTATATTACAGTTAAGCCTTCTGGTAAAGGAAATAATAGGTGTACAGACTAAGTAAACATTGGGTAAAGTTACCATATCATCGATCAGTCTGTGCTCATAGAAAAGATTTGCTTCTTCAAACTTTGACTTGTAATCATTTCTACAATCATAAAACAATAGCATCTTGTAACTGGTTCTATATCACCTATAACATTGACTATCAATTACTCTAACTAAAAGTACGTGTAAATATCTTGAAAAATGTCTTTAAATCTTCCGTCATATGTCTTGAGAATTGTGTTTTTCGTGCTTAAATAAAGTGGCTGTTGTTTAAGCAACGCATATTGAAAACAGCTATGGGCAAATTCTGTAATAGACTGTAGAAAATGCGAAATTAGAAGTTTAAGATGTATCTTGAGGATGTAATCCATCAATTTGTTATTAATAGACTGCTCACCTTATCAGTGTTGTACATTCCCAGAGCAACACCAGGTTCCTCAAATTTGTAAATATCAACTGATTGTTCTTGTGATTTATCTCCATCATCGGGTACAAATATCAATTTTAATGTTCCTTTGCCATTAATCTTAATATCTGTTGCTTTATACTAGAAATGAAAAATAGCAACGACTAATTACTGTTTGTGAACAGATCATAATAAACGTTTTCAACTATCATAAAATTATTAGAATTTAATGAAATACAACATTAACGTATTTGAGTTACTTGCCTGGTCACCAAAGGCATGTCTACCCACAATAATTGATTTCTTCCACCCAGGAACTAATCGCGGAATAGATTGACATATAATTGGTTCTCTAAATACGGTTCCTCCAAGAATGTTACGTATTGTACCATTGGGACTACGCCACATTGCTTTTAAACCAAATTCTGCAGTGGATTAATTATGAAGATTATTTTAGCAATACAAAGTCGCACCTACTGTATATACCGCTGAGCAGCACAGTAACACTGTATTGCAAATACATTGGATTAAGTACAAGGTATAAAATTGCATCGCCCAAGTTATCACATTTGATTATTTTCTGATATATAACTAATGAATCTTGTTCAGTGATCTACCAATATTAGCTTTCTTCAAAGCATAGCCAATTTTGTGACCTCTAGTATACACATGTTTATTTGGTAGCCCAGTTTTAAATCGAACATACTAGTGTATTCAGTTTATAATTTCAACTTAAAGTCATCAAGGTGAAATTCTGATGATGTTAATTGCTGAATCACTTTAACGTACATTGCCAGTAGAATTTACCTTGAACTCGATTTTCGTCAGGCGTAATAGTAGCACACTTAATACCAATATTATATTTCGCGATAGCATCAGCAGCTTGAACTGTGACTAGATCGTCTGTCTTATCACGATTTGGTAAGCCAAGATCAAAGTACTTCCTTTCTACCTCCACATATGGTAGGATTAGCTAAGGCCATAAACAATTCAGTAGCAGTGAATAACGTGTCGTTGAGGTAACGGAATGTTTACAAGTGTAGCAAATACGAATTTACGGTTTGCAAAGTCTGTGCAAATATCTTAAAGAAGGTAAAATGTGTTGATAGTCTACTTACATTAGTATATTATCATCTCTATATCAGCTCTAGCAAAATTATAGTTATACACTAATGCATAAATACCATAACTGATTAATATCAATTCCAGTCTTACAAAAGCAATAAATTGTTATCGTTTAATAAATGATGCTACTAAAATGAAAGTAATAGACCTCTTCTCGGATCTTTTCCCATAATACACGAGCCATTTCGTCACCATCTAGCTCAACCACGGGATTGGCAACCTTAATCCGTGTTGAATCTATATACATACATAAAATGTTGCATGGTAATATTTAGAAGTACTAATTTGATTTAATACTATCTACCTAGACGGATTACTGTACGCGCATATCTAGTAACAGATAATACTAGGACATTACCATATCCATTCTACTGTATACTAGCAAGAAGGGATAAAGAATGCCAACATTATTCCATCACCACTTCGCCCTGTATGGAGTACTACATAATAACTAGTCCAACTTACGTACATGATCGTCTAATCGATGTGATCGATTGGGTTACCATGGCACGCTTCATCAGTTGCATAACTGTGCTCGTTTTCCTCATCATTGCCATTTGGTTTCAAGTCGGTTAAATGTATAAGAATTGTTCCTCTTACGCTTGCAAATATTGATGGCTTGTCTTTTCTCTCCTATTGCAATAGAAAGAATAACCGTCATCTACGGATGATGAGCCACCTATGTACTAAATTTTACTACTGCTTCATGCTATCCTAGACATCATTTTTTCATTATGATTCCGCTCTCATTATTTTAAATTAGGCACTAATTTGATCATCACTTCCAAATCACGTTAACCTACATTCCATGCACACTAATTAGACTAACTAATAATAAGTAAAACGCGCAAGAAAATAAATAAACAAACAAGAATCATCATCGCCATGTTGCCAACCTGCTTGAGTTTGCTTACATCAGCTAGCCGTCGCCGGTAGTGGCAAAATAATATGAACACAAAGGACTAGTCGAACACGATCATGTTGAAGGCTAGTTCCAAAAATAATGTCACCTAATAAGCAATTGCTGTAAGTGTAGATATCTCTCCTCTCTGTAGTATAATGACATCATTTTTGCTCGAGATTCGCCAAGCCGGCCGGACGGCCGTTACGATACGGTACTGTACCATGGACTATTACAGTACACTGTACAGTACAGTACAGTACAGCTACAGTACTGTACTGTATAACTGACTGCCAGTACTGTACTCGGTAACAAAGCTTGTGTCAATAGGTGCACTTATTTCATACTAATTATATACAAAATTTTTTACAGTATTATCAGGAAGGGGAATTAGCTCACATGGTAGAGCGCTCGCTTAGCATGCGAGAGGTACCGGGATCGATACCCGGATTCTCCAAATTTTTTAATTTTTTTTTCTATCTTTTTGCTTCATCTCCTCTGGACTACAGTATTATATAGCATGCATGCAATCATTATTACTGAGTGGCAGGATAAATAAATAAAATGGATATTAGTCACTATATGATCCTTTTTTTCGGTATACATTGCACACGTATACGAGTACAGTATGTCTGTGATTAGCCGACAATAGCAAACGGAATATCATCATCTCATACGTTGCGTATAAGACTTTAGGAGCAGTGATTCCCGTTAACAACATGCACGATATATTTTACTGATAATAACGTGCATAATTATAATATAACGTTATTGTTATTATATTTATTAATCTGGACTTGCCTCGTTATGTTATACGATATAGTAGATGGCCAACATATTAAATGCAAAATTTTACATGATCAATTAAGCATTTAACTAATAAGATACTAACCGAGAATACCACACAACTGGCTTCCAATTAGAATTGTATTAGGCCCGGAATACAGCATGCTGTAACAGCGTTGTAAATAGTTCTGACAGCAGTAGATTGGATTTAAGCTGCAATAAATGACTAATTGTTAGGAATACAATCATCTTCGTTTATCATAGGCTAGTCTAGTGAGATGATTGATACATGTGAAATGATGTTCTAATAATTAATATAACAGTAATGTGCTATAATAGTGAACATTCAAAAATATGCCAATACAAGCTGGACTGATGTACTAAAATTGCCAGCCAATCCAAAAAGATCATTATGCAGTCATTGCTCAAAGAATTCTCTCAATAACTTCTTATAGCGCTTTTCCATTACATTCTAAAACTTGTTTTACAGCACTGTATTACGTAAAGCATTCCAATGATGTATGGTATACTGTGTTGTACTCGTATATAGACCGTAATTAAAATAATAACAGGACACTATATTATGATAGGTATTTATATGAAGGTTTAATTAATAAACCAAATTGCTTTCGTTTATTTGTGCTTTAAAAACTTTCCTTTCCCACCACCCCTCTCAATAAAAGTTAAATAGAACAAATAAAAACCTATAATATTGCTCGAACGTACGTATAGTAAACAACTAAATCACAATGATTAGCCTCCAAAACCTCCATAAAATGATAGGAATAAGTCTATTGACATTCATTTTACTGTTATGCAACTATGACAGCTTAAGACCCTATTTTTCAGTAAATGGATTGATTTACAAATGCTACATGTTACAACAGCTTGCTTACTTGACTAAGTGAAACACTGAGAACTACATAAAGGAGACAATACGAAATTTTAATTTTAATTTTGCAAAATTTAATATATCATGCTCTAAATTATATCTATAATTAATATTCCAAAAAGTATCTAGTCAAGGACTAATTACATCATGTTAAGGCCTTCACTTTTATCAGTGATCCTTAACATAAAGCAACGTGTCATACAATACTACTTAACTTAATACTGTATATCGCTGATTACGTTATTAATTATAATTAATGCAATAATTACAAGAAGTTGTAGCTATATTCCAGGAATGATCATTTATCAAAATGCTACTGGCTTTCGCCTTAAAGAGTTCACGGAATAAAGTAAAATAATGGCGACTATGGCTTTTGTTTACCTGAAGAATAATTTCTCTTAGAATGAGTAATAATGTAAATTTAGTAATAATTCAGCAATGGAGACATTTTCCCCTACATCATATCTTAAATGATGATAATAAGTTAATCATAAGTGATATACATGCTTACAACTTTAATGTTGTTTTAAATTATGACGGTAAATTTATAGGGCAGATTCACTTTTAGTTTATAATTTTGTAGAAGATAATGACTAATCTTTGATAATATATGTTGTCATAATTATGTAAAGTAAAATTAAATTGCTGTATCGTAAAGTGATAAAAAATTTAAAAGATAAAATCTATATGTCTGAAAGAGTAACATTATATTTTATCATATTTCATTAATTCTCACTATTCAGTAGTATAATTAAATACTCTTATTGCAATCAGTCCTTCATAAGTATCAGCAATATTGATTAAGGGTTACTCATTCTAGACTCATACTAAAAGTTTATGTATTAAATATTAAACGTTGATTTGAGCCTCCGACAAGATGAATTCGCGAAATCTCCTTACCCGCATACTAACCCTTGTATTTTGCTTTATACGTTAAGATTGTATATTGGCTCTAACAATAGTGTTAATCTAATATTGATGCCAAAACAAAAACGTTTAGTTGGAAACGAAGAGGAAACTTAGATTATATTGTAATTAATGTTGGTATTTTGCAAGAATGTTTTACCCGTTTATTCATTATAATATTATATATAACTTGATATTTCTTTCTGCTATTAAATTAAAATTTCTAACTTTACAGATTCTTTACAATCGTTTTTAAAATAATAAAATGTATCTTCGATTCATTACAATACTTTAATATTTGAATACAGTATAGTAGATTAATTGCATCAACTTTGTAATATTATTAAATTACATTTATTTATTTGCTATTGGCTACCTAATCTTTGCCATCCAATTATAGATAGCATCCATTAACGACTGCTCTCATGCCCTGTCATCGTATAGTAGATTGACTTCTTAAGTGTAATTAACGCATTACATCTCCTATAAGCCAAAGTTGCAACATCTACATTTCAATATCTAGTTATCAGTATCATATTCTAAACGCATACTATTTTCTTATTTGATATAAACAATAGCTTTCAGTATATACGTGGTATGATAAAATCAACAACAGCAATGTAAAACAAATGGTATACGAGACTATCAGGATGCAAAACCTGCTACTACTAACACATCAGTAGAATATAAACTAATCATACGTATTAAAATAAATCTCTATATATTATATCATTAGAGTTAGACTAATTCATATACTGCAATTTCGCTACTCAAAATGCTCCCTGTTCTAAGCGCAAATTCTTAGCAAGGACAGAAATAAACCACACAACTGCACAATATTTTAAATCTGATGATATTAATATATTGCTAATTTTATATACATTAGCAAAATAATAAGATCGTTTTTAAAGTCCATAAAAAATTTCGATATCTATAGATGGCTGGGATACTAATATCATTCCAGTCATCATTTTTTGAACAATTACAGTGATACATTATACTAGAATGTATCGTTTATAATTTCTAAATTCTTCTGATTTTGAAATTATTATAATAAAGTACAAGACAAAACTCAATTCATCACAACCAGGTGGCTGGTGACGTTATCAATCAAATTATTATTATTGATTCTAAAAATTAAATTGTCGACCGTCGTAGGATAGATTTGAACAGTTGGATATAATTAATTGTAATTATTAAGCTATTGATGCTTTGTTATTTTTTATTTCTCATCTGTTTCAACTATGCATATGCATGCATGGGTGGACATTCTCAGTTGTTCTCGATATAAGAAGGTCAAGATAGTTATAGTCTATACAGTGTTCTATGCTTAGCGAGGACAGTGTACCGAGTTGATGATGGACGATGATTTTATTTAAGTAATCTAAAGTGCATGTACACTACATACGCGTATATGCGGGTATGCTAGTAATTTGACCTTTATCCGATTTTTATCAAGTATCATATATTATGCCCATACCGTATAAATTTGCTATTATTCTGATTCTTGGTAAAAATAATTTATAGTTACCCTCAATTTTCTTGCCACTATGTAAATTCTGGAGATCTCAGAGATAGATGCCAGAAAACAGCAACCTTTTACGTGAGCTTTTCATTTTTCATCTTTCCAATTATTGCAAGTATTGTATCGCAATAATGGCAATTGTAAAGTAGAAGAGAAAATGGACTAATCAATATTTAAACACTACTACTATAATTGCTGCACTACTAGCTTACGATAATTTCGTAACGCTTTCATTAT